TAACTTTTCTTTTTCAAAGATTTAATAATTATGTAACATTATGTAATGTTTAAATTTTAAGTATCTTAGTTCTTTTTTATCACTTTCCTTCATTGATTGTGTTTTTTTTTTTTTTTTTTTTGTAAGAACTCTATCAAATATTAGGCACCTATCATAACTTCTATGTCGTGTGTCTTTAAGAATTTTGTAGATGACTATCCTCTTAGGGTCATATGGAGGGATCGAATTCTCTTGAAATTTGTTAATAAAATTCTCGCATATGTAAATAGAAGGATTTGAAAAATCAATATTGTTTAGGTTATAATCTCTTTCAATTTACTAACTTTGGATTGAAAATAATGTCGACATCTCCTAAAAACTATAGTCGAGATACAATCTCAAGCCAAATGTTTAGTGAATATTTTTTAATGAGATTACATATGTTAAATACATTAATTTCTTAAAGAAAAGAATGTATCAAACTAGAATCATGCTAAACTATTCAAGTTGATAGATAGAATTTACCTTTTTAGCATTTATTAAAAATCACAATCAAGGGTAGATATTAAAGTCAACTCATAATAGAAAAAAGGATTCTCAAGTGGATAAATTGAAAAAGTGAAAATTATGGAGCAAGCATAAACATATTTATTGTATTCTTACAATTTGGATATTATAAAGAGAAATTTCTTATAGCTAGAAAAATAATTAGCACTGTGAGTTATAAAATATATTCTATATGGTGGCAGTAGGAGAAGTTTTAAGATTTTATTGTAGTGATTAAGAGGTAATGGATAATAGACTTAATTTATCCTACTTATATGAGAACAGACCAAGCAATGAAAAATATGGGCATTTATTGTCAGTATTTCTTGAATGTTGAACATGATCAAGCATATGAATTCAATAAATTGAGAACATTAGATGAGTAGTGATTAAGAGGCAATGGATAATAGACTTAATTTATCCTACTTTTTTGAGAACAGACTAAGCAATGAAAAAGTTGGGCATTTATTGAGTATTTCTTGAATGCTGAACATGATCAAGCATATGAATTCAATAAATTGAGGACATTAGATGTAATGTAATGATTTGTGCTATGTTATGTGTTTTGTTATTTACAAAATAAATAAAATAGTAAAATCCTAGAAAACAAACATCTGATACTAACTAGAAAACATTAGCCTTGGTATTCATTAAGCAACAATTGATGAGGAATATAAAAGGTTAGGAGACATCGAGCTAACCAATCTAAACATTCTTCTTGTATAAGGGGAATTAGAAAGATTAATGTCAATCATCAACATTAAGTAATAGTAACAATAAACATTGGCATGGGCTGAAGAAGTTTAACATTAGTTGACAGTCAGAGTTTAGCCGTACTAATGAAAGACAATGACAATAGTTAGTGTCTGACAAAGATTGTCGATGGGGGTAGACCTCTAGAATTTTGTTACTCCTAGCATTCTTTCCATCAAAATACTCTCTTATGACTCTATATCTTGTAAAGTCAATGCATATACAAAGAGTTTTTGAGGGGCATCCAATATCCGGACACAAAGGTCGTAATTTATCCCCTTATTATTTAGTTTTCTTAGACATCTTAAGACTAATAACATAAAAATTTTGTTACATTGAGATCGTTAAATTTATCGATTTAAAATGTGTACTTTAATATTCTAAGATCATTGGTAACTCAAATATTTATCTTTAAGTAGTTCATTTAAATTTGTTTGGACTCAGATTAAGTCAATATTGGCATTGTTGGGCACATTTGATTGAGGTGCTCAATTTAACTATGGTTAGAAATGAAATTTGGAGTCAAATTTTTAAAATGTCCTGAAATGTGCAAATGCCCAATACAGGATTCCATATTCAACGCATCAACTATTAAAAATCCGCGCGTAGTTGCAAAGCAACCAAAAGCTCAATCCGGCGAGAATTTGCAACCTCCAAATACCTCCAGGTGGACTGCATCAGAGACAAATTCACAAAAAAAACAGCCAAAAAAATCAATTACTAAGATAAACAATAACATCAATAGCTTTTTTATTGATTGTTCCAATCAATATTCCAAAGTTATTCCATTTTTATGCAACTTCTTTTCAAATTATATATATATATATATATATATATATACACACACACACACACACACACATATTCATGCTCCACGTCTCGGCTCATTTGTGCGGCATTAGGCATAAGTCCCTCAGGTCAAGAGTTCGAATCTCATGACGCGGACTCTTCGGATCAATTAAAACATACCTGAGTTTTGACCCAAATGAAAAAAACATTAATTAGTGCTCACTAGACCAAATAACGATTTCCTTTAAGAAAAAAAAAATACACATATTCAGGAACACAATGTTATGTTAGGGATTAGGTTAAAATTTGTCTTTTTGCGCATGTTTTATTTTTATTATTTTCATAACCCAAACAGGCCCGGGAATCGAGCCTAACTAGTGTGATTTGGGACGCTAATCTGATCTAATTACAGCCATTAGAAATAACGTTATAGGAATAAATAAATAAATGTCTCATGAAGCACAGAGCTACCACAGAGCAATCGCGGTAAAAAAAATTTGAAAGTCCCATTTTGACAGCTGTGTCCTAACGACCATCCTCTTATAAATACCAACTCCCTCTTCCCCAGCCAAAAATACACCCACACCCCTCCTCCCCCCTCCCCCTTCCGCAGCCACCTCATTCTCCACCGCCACCACTCCTCCGCCGGCTCTGACTTCTACGGCGATGGTGATACTTTACGGCGGGGCCTTTTACGGGGTCGCCTTTGGCCGTCCCTCGCAATGGCCTTCTCCCTCTTAATGGCTTCGAGTAATGCCATTGTTTCGGCTACCGACGAAGAACCAAACATCTATGCATCACCTCCTCCACCATCCCCTCCATCTTATTACTACAAATCTCCCCCGCCACCCTCCCCCTCACCACCGCTACTATTACTACAAGTCTCCGCCACCGCCTTCGCCATCTCCACCGCCACCATATTACTACAACTCTCCGCCGCCGCCTTCGCCATCTCCGCCACCACCATACTACTACAAATCTCCTCCCCCACCCTCGCCCTCGCCTCCACCTCCCTATTATTACAAGTCTCCTCCTCCCCCATCTCCTTCTCCGCCTCCTCCATACTATTACAAATCCCCTCCTCCACCTTCTCCTTCACCACCACCTCCTTACTACTATAAATCTCCACCTCCACCATCGCCCTCTCCTCCTCCTCCATACTACTACAACTCTCCTCCTCCACCATCACCATCACCTCCTCCTCCATACTACTATAAATCTCCTCCACCACCATCACCGTCTCTACCACCTCCATACTACTACAGATCACCTCCGCCGCCATCTCCGTCACCGCCACCTCCATACTATTACAAATCTCCACCTCCTCCATCTCCTTCACCTCCTCCGCCCTATTACTACAAATCACCTCCGCCGCCAATAAAATCTCCACCCCCACCATACTACTACATCTCTCCTCCACCTCCGGAAAAATCACCACCGCCATATTATTACATATCTCCACCACCGCCAACACATCACTACCCTCCTTTGATTAAAGTGGTCGGACATGTCTACTGCTTTAAGTGTTACAATTGGAAACACCCATTTGATTCCAGCCACAGGAAGCTTTTCAAAGGTAAGTTTCTCTCAGATCATAAAAGATGCCTGTTGATCTCCAGTAAAACATAATGTTTCTCTCACTACTGCCATACTTAAGAAAAAATCAGAGCATAAAAGATGCCTGTTGATCTCCAGTAAAACATAATAATTCCTCTGTTTTATTTTTTTATGTTGCTTCCATTGTTTAAGATGAAAAATATGATCTCAAGATGACAGTTGTAGTTAATTTATAATTTGTTACAACTAATTTTCATTCCTTACATAACATTGCCACATGAAGATGCCGACCTTAAAGGTACTGTACATTTTACTTTTTAAAAGCCAGTCACCATTAATGTGGTATGGCATTTATTTCATTTTATATAAATAAAATAAAGTAAGAAAAAAACTATGTTTCTGACATCAGATATTATAAAAAAGAATAGTACCAATCCAATCCCATATCTTTTCTCTTGTGGCAACTCAATTATGTCAAACAGATCATCATAAATAACTAAAAACATTGTCTCAATTAATACTTAAATAATGCAAATAACTCCAATTGAGAAATATTAATTAGTTTACCCATTCTTTGTTTAATACGCAGGAGCCGTGGTCAAGGCAACATGCAAGGCCGGCGAGAAGGAGTACATCGGTTATGGAAAGACCAAGGCATATGGCAAGTATAGCATCAACATAGAGGGATATCCTTACGGGAAATATGGAGCCGAGGGATGCAAGGTTAAGCTCCATGCAGCTCCTAAAGGCTCCATTTGCAACATCCCCACTAAGATCAATAAGGGATCACCTCTAAAGGTTGAGCACAAATCCGATCATGAGATCATCCTCAGGGCTAAATCTCTTGTTTTTGCTCCATCCCCACACAAGTATTATGAGGAATGCAAGAAGTCCTACCACCACTCACCACCACCA